ATCGCCTCCTTCTCGTCCATTCCGATCTCTCCTCTCTAATTCACCAGGTAACTAATTCGTACTTCTAGAGAGAAATGAGATAGCAATTTCATATTTGATCAAACAATGGTTTGGAGGAAATTGATTCACTGAACTGCATCATTTTCTCTCTCCTTCAATTTTGTCACAAACTGCATATATATATATATATATATCTGCTACGTGATCAGAAGGAAGACTATAGATGATTAATCTGCATATATATTAATCTGATAGATTTTACGTGATCAAAAGGAAATTGTTTTCACCGAGTTCGACGTCTTTTTCGTGATATAAATGATCAATTGCTTCTCTTTCAACCTCTTGGTCTCTAACCTAGGTAATAAATTCCCACTTGAACAATTTGATCTCTTCTTCTTGAACTTCACAATGATTTCACCTAAATATCTTTGGTTTTGCTGTTAAGATCATAAAGAATATTTTATGTTATTAACCTTTTCTCTCTATTATTACGTTGCATTCCATTTCAATTTCAAGTTTAGAGTTTGTATCTATGAAGAATTTATATCTACTTCATTGTGATAGAATTTTCTATGGACTGATTTTCTTGTACGTCTAGTTTCAATTTTTTTGTTGATAAACAATATGGGCACAAATTTGTATGAAAAAGGAATTTCCTTATAAGAAGATGAAAATCTTCTCAGCTTTTTTGTAGGTTGTTTTGTGTTCAAATTGAGTTATGACAAAATGTTAATTATTAATCTTTGCAAAAAGGGGGTTTCAATGTTCTTCTTTTTTCCTTTTTTGCTCTGTTCTTTGTTTCTATTGGTATGCTTGAATTTTCCTTGTGGTTAGGCCACTGCTTTTCTATTGGAGCCATGTAGTTATGGCTGAATAGAATACCACCTTTTATTGTTGCTTTAGTCTCCACACCAAAAGCTAATTTAACCTACACACCAACAAATGTGGAGCAGATTACAAATTTTCTCTCCTTAGTCACTTTTTAATGCTTGTTTATTCTTGGTGATTAGATGAAAAGTTCGTAGGAAAAATTTGTATATGTTGCATATAAATAGAGCGTGGGAAAAGCTTTATACTTAATAATAAGATTACTAATTTTATTTTTTTCTAAATGAAGATCAAATGTATCTACATTGGGAAAGATTTGATTCATTTTGAATTCTTTAATTTAGAATTAAAAAGCTTATCTTTATTTGTTAAGAGTAAACAATCCATTTCCAGTCTTTATTTCTATTGTATTATATCTCATCGTATCATATTTAATTTAATTATGCAATATTTAATGTTAAATTTAATAATTATGATAGTCTTTGTTGTATTGTTTATTATATCCCCATTATGGTATTCTTTCTTAACTTGGTTAGTTATTAGATTAGTTTTTAGAGTTTTTACAACTATTGGACTATAATTCCGAATGTAATTCTTTTCATATTTTTCTGCCAATTAAAAAAGAAAAAAAATATTCCATGAATATTCATGATTTGTTCTTTAGATTTCATAAGCATTTTAATGTGATAATGGGGATGCATTTAAGATTCACAGTCACATATAGGTTCCATGAATCACATAGCAGAGATTGATATATACGGGCTTTTTGCTTTCAAACATTGCAAGGGAAGGAAGGTTAAGCATTCTCTTTGTGAAGGTAATTTCTAATCTTTGAATACGCAAGCTTGCATTGTTAGGGAAATTATCTTTGTGAGTTTTTGGTGTAGGCTATGGATAAGAAATGATTGCTGATATTTGGTACTTTCATGTTATGTTAATTGATTGAATCTTAATTATTATACACTGAGATGACTTGGTAGCGAAAGTAATAAAGTACTATTGATACTTGTATGTGCTGATTGTTAATTGATATTGATATTTGTGTTTAGATTTTTGGGGGTTGGCTTGAGGAACCATGAACTAGAACAAGAGACAAAAAAGGGACAATTAATCAATAGTCTTTCAAAAACCCACAAGACAAGAGAGAGATATCCCTTTTAAGTTGTAGGAGAATAAGGCTGGCTTTGATATGGAATTAATGGTCCCATAGGGGGCAAGGAAGCTCTATTGGAGAACTTTGAATCTCACCTCCTACAAATATATATATATATATATAATATTGTAAACGTGTTTGGAGAGAGTCTAGTCACACATGCGTGGGCATGTTGAAGAGAATAAATTTGGAGTAATATTGCAATGACTATCTACTTTAACCATCTTATCTTATCATTTGATATGTCAATCTAATTGACAATATATATATATATATATATATAATTAATATGATATAGAGAAATATGATGATTGTAATTTATTGATAAATTTGTGCTTTGCAGGTAATTTGTACATTGTAGTGATTGTTTTATCTAAATCTCCAATATGTTAGTTGACAAATAATTGAGAATTGAATTTTTGTTGGGGGAGACAAGGTTGAAGTAGAGCATGTTGGCCAGGTAGTTAAAGAAAAGGCCAACCTATTTCTTTTCATTGATCATTAGCCAAATTTTATTTGTTCTTTATTAGACCATTGCCAACGGTAATACTATTATTTGTTATATTATTAACAAAGATTTTAGCTCATCCAACCATTATTTTCCTTTTTCAAACTCATTTTTAAATAGTTTTTTGGAGATCAATAATAATTGTGATTTAATCTTTGTCTGAAAGGATAATATTTGAGAACTTGCCCCTTTTTTTTCTTTTCTTTTTTTCTAAACTTTATTTATTTGTGTTTTGGGCTTGGTAATATGCCAAAAGTTAACCAACGGGCTAATTCGATTGATAGAGAAGTTGACGTTATCTGTAAGACTATTAATTGCGAAGATCTAGTGCTACTAATCGTTGCTGTCAACCTACCTCACAAAAAATCAATGTAAAACAGATGGAGCATAACCTATCCCACAAAAAATGCCCCCTTAGTTGGAGCCTTAGACCCAAACTCCTTCCTAAGAAAAAAAGAAAGATCAATATTGACTGCTCAAGACTTTATAATAAGTTATTACTTTAAAGCTTCCAAATTTTGATCTCGTCCAATGCATCCCATCCTCTTCCCCTCCAATGTGGACAATGGCATAAAGGCAGCCAAGAAGATCCACCAACTCCCCACAAAAAGTAATATCCTAGAAAATTTGACTTATCTTTTTTGAACACTGAGGTAGTCACTAATATCAGTTGTCTAGCTTATTATATTATGGGGCACTGTCCAAACAATTAACTTTTTTTTTTTTAAAGAAGTGGACATGTCAAAACAAAATGACCTGCGCGAGAGGCTTCAGTGATATCAGCCAAAACATTATTACTAGATTTGATTGACATTTCTCGCATATCCTGCAGGTATTGTTTAGATTGATTTGATACAGGATTGAACACTATCTTTTATTGCATTCTCTACATCATGAGCAAACCAGTCTTGTCTAATTGTAACTTTTTGGTACTAAACTACCTTGTGCTTAGAGACAGCTACCTAATACATATAGAATCCTTGTTAAAAGTTTATTGAGCACTGAGAATTTCATATTTCAGATCTCTAATTGGAACTTTTTTATACTGAACTGCCTTATGCTTTAGTTACTATATCATTCATTGTTGCTTGTAGGTCGGTGATCCTCTTGAGAAGGCTGTACTTAAGGGAATAGAATGGAGTTATAAATCTAATGAGAAGGCCATGCCGAAAAAGTAAGCAGCAACATTAGTTGTCACTATTTAATTAGTACTCAGTTGTTGTTTGTCTTGGTCTTTACATTATATAAATTGTTCCAATCTTTAATCTCTCTTGCACCCTTGATTTCTTCTAACTAATGTTATTTATCACTTTTCTTATTGTAGTTAGGTATCTTCAATGTTGTACTTATAAAAAGAAAATGATGAGGGAAAAAATATGCTAATGGACAATATGAAAGGCTAAATTTTATCTTTACTTGTGAAACAAATCTGAATCAAAGGCCGGCTGCCCTCATTAATGCAACGGAAAATATATTTCCAGCTCATTTGCACAGATACAGACTCGAACACATATGTATAAGTGCTCCAGCAGTGCTTTGGGGCCTAAATGTGTTGAAATCTGATGCTCCTCCACTCTTACTCCCTCTACTGCTCCTGCTCTTGCTATGTGAATTAATCACCTAAGCAAGAAGCACCATTTTGTTTATTTTCCATTGAAATGGTCAAAATGTTTACGTTTCTTAGGAAATCAAAACGAAACATAAATGAATACTGAAATTCCATTGTTTCCACCGAAACATACCAAAAATGCACCAAAACACATGAGATAGTGTGAATATTTACTTGTTGCTCGCTTGATCGATTATAACTCCAGTTTCCCTCTGTTTGTTGTCTTGCATATTTAGGTTACATGGACTAGAAACAGTGACATTATAGTTACTTGTGCAGTCTATAATTCATTGTTTAATGAATAATTGTTTCCATCTCTTGTTCATCTTTCACTTCATTGGTTTTTGTAAAAGGCTATTATGTTATATTTTTCCCAATCCTAATTTTATTTTCAACAATTTCAAGGGAGGTGGCAATGCTGCTCAGATTGTGCAGAGACACCACTTCGCATCTCACTTGAAACGGATGGCAGTTGTTGTTCGTGTTCAGGAGAATTTCTTGCTTTTATGAAGGTTATCTGGTTGCCCGTTTTCTTTTCCTACTTACTTTCAGATTTTGAGTTGATGCACAAAAGTATAATTAATAAATAGACGTACTACATTTTAATAAACAATATATGACTTGAAATTTTGAGAAAATGTTGTAATGGTTTATATAAATAGACACCACTACATTTTCTTCTTCTATATAAATAGACACCACAGCTACATTTGTTTTTTTTTTTTTTTTTGTTGATAATTAACGTTGTAACATACGAAACTACACACACTCCAATCAATGTGCTTAACATGGTGCATTTGGAGGGTGTAAAATTGTGTCATATTGAAGACCTACAAATGGATATACATGGATTGAAAGTGATGCACTTTGCACTTTTCGTTTTGGCTCTTCTGGAAGTCCTGTGATTCCTCTCTTAATTTTATTGATATTAGAAGAGCTTAGTTATTACTTTAAGTTTTGCTTCGTAGACGTCTTGACCAAGTTATGCTGCTATTGTTTGTGTGTATAGCCTATCTACTGCTATCTTGAGGCTTAAATCATGAGGCATTACTGATGTTAATGATGGTTGACTCTGTGGCTGCATAGGTCTGCTCTGCTGCCTATTGAACAGAGTTGCTATGCTGCTGATTGCTGATATGTTCAAATACAGTCTTGGTTTCTGCTGTGTTGTAATAATTGCTCAGATATGTTTAGGCTATTCTTGGCATTAGGACTGAGATGCAGGTAAATCTGTCACCAATATTTGGAAGGTGGAAGCTGGGCTTTGCAGATTGGTAGTCTCGCTGAGGTAGGCAGCTGGTCTGCTCTATTTGTGAAGGTAATCTGGCTCCAGTATTGCTCCATTGGAATGATCTGTCTACTCTGTTGGAAGTTGGAAGCTGGTCTGGCTCCACTGTTGCTCCCTTGGAATGTATGTTGCAGATTGTAATAGCCTCATACCTTGTTATTTTCTTTCTATATCATGTTTGATTTGTCACGATTTTAGATAATCTTAGTGTGCACTTATGAGTTTTTATCATCGCTTTGAATTGGAGGGATGCTAGGGAAATTTGAAATCGATCTCTCATTTCCCAAATTCCCTCACGACTTTAAAGGAGAGAACTTGTGGGTTTTGTGTTTGAGTTTATCATATATATGATAATGGTTTTTAGGATATAGAACTTGATTGAATTTTATAGTTTGTGCATTCAATTTACAGGGATATCTAGATAGATTTTATACTGCTCCATTAGTGACATTGTTTGGTCATTTTTAGGTCTGTGGATAATTTTTTAGTTAGAATTTAAGGGCAAATAACTCATCATTTTTTTTATCACTTTATTTAATTGCTTGGTTTTGCATTTATATATAGGATAAATCAGCAGATGTTCGTAAAGCAGCTAAAGTATGCATTAGTGAAATTTTCAGAGTCTGTGGTCCTGATGCAGTATGTAGACAAAAATTTTTGGTGCCTCCTTTGGTTTTTGTCAAAAATCTAGCAGAACTCCTGAGTTTATTGTCTTGTTACATGACTAGGTGACCAAGAATTTGAAAGATATTTAAGGACCTGCCTTAGCTATTGTTCTTGAACGACTGAAGCACTCAGGGGCTTTTCAAGGTATGTTGTAGTGAAGTTTGTTGAGGTTTTGTTATCTTTGTTCGGTAGTGCTGTTTCATAGTGACATAATTTTTCTTTGTTTCCAGAAACATTTGAAGTGGCTAAAACAATATCGATGGGGCCATCATTGAAAAGTGGATCAAAAGTTCACGAACTAGACGAGTACCCTCCCCAACATATTTCTTAACAAGTTCACGAAGCTAAATTGTACAAGACTACTTGGCAGTATGAGCATTTTTGGGAGGATTAAATATTTTTGGATGGATGTGTATGGATAACAAATATTAGTAGTTTTATTTGTTGATAGCTGTGCATGGATAACAAATAGTTATTTTTCAAATTGTTATGCTAGATGGATGTGACTTGTGAATGAAAACTTAAAATAGTTGTATTGTGTCGAATGTTAATGAATTATGTATTGTATCGAATGTTAATGATTCAGTTAATTTGAATGATGCTTTAAAATTATAGGTTTATTATGGATTGAATGAATTATTAGGAATTACAGGTGTATTATTTTCCTGCTTTGGCGACCAATTTATTAGTTGCGACATCCAAAATAATTTTTTTCCGTAAAAAATGACAATTGCCGACCAAGAGTTTTGGTCGCAAAAAATACATCTATTGCCGACCAAAACAGTTCTTGGTCGTAGAAACTCACTTTTGCCGACCAAAAGTTTTGGTCGCGAAAAGTAACAAATGGCGACCAAATTTTTTGGTTGTGGAATGTCACAATTGGCGACCAAACTTTTTGGTCGTTGAATGTGATAATTGGCGACCAAACTTTTTGGTCACGAAATGTGTCAATTGGCGACTAAGATATTTGGTCGGGAAAATATCACTTTTCGCGACCAAAGTGTTTTAGCAACAAAATGAATTAGTTGCGGTAAGTAAATATTTAGCGACCAAAAATTTAGTCGGCAAATCCAACTTTTGCCGACCAACCAAAATTTTGGTCGCGAATAACTTTTGCCGACCCTCAATTAGCGACCAAAGTTGCGACCAAAAAAATTGGTCGCAGATAACTTTTGCCGACCAAAAATAGACTTTTAGCGACCAATTTTTTTGTTGTCAAAAGTGTGAATTCTTGTAGTGTACATACCTTTCTAAGTTCGTTGTTCCTGTATTTATACCTGTTTCTTTTAGGCCTCGGGGCTAGGGCCTACTTTTTAATCATTGTCGTTTCTCTTATTCGGCTCCAAGGGTCTACACTTATTCAGCCCATATATTATATTCGGCCCCCTATTCTCACAGGATGCAGTCGATTAATATCAGTCTTCTAAAGTACGCACCTTCTGACTTTGCCATTTATTGAGCTCCCATAGAATAGAATAATATATTAAAGTAAAGTAAGCTATAAGGTTAGCTTTATTTGTTTGTATTTATGTTGCTCACAAACCATATATATCAGTAAAGTTAAACCTGAGCCAACAGAGTTAGCGCACATGGTTCTGCAAAAAATCTTATATTATGGATTCACTGGGACAAAAATGCTCTCTCTCACCCACCTGGCACTCTTCACTTTGCACAGAATCACCAAGCCCCAACAATCACAAAGAACCAAACTATCTTTAACAGACTAGTACTCTTCGGTTCGGTTATTATAGTTAGGAAATCATTACTATGCACACCTTCCTGTGTATTTGTAATTTCAATCACAATAGTTTATAGTAGTCAATTTGAGCCATAATCAAAATTAAATTGATCCATAACAAAAACATCATAACAAGACTTCATAACTAAGTTCATTACAAAAATCTCATAACTAAGCACCATAAAATTTTTAACTAAAATCACAAATATTCATAATTAGGACTATAATTTTTTCATATAAATTCATCATGAGTTCACGTAGAAGGAGAGTAGTGTACTTGAAATGCTGTGATTATGAGAGATTAAAATTATGGAAAAGTTTTGAGGTTGGGGCAGAAATAGCAATTGGCCATGTGAGTATTTAATATGATAAGAAAAGTTGAAGGATATAAGATCCAAATCTTGAATTTGATCCATCTCGAAGGCTGCTTGGAATTTTTTCGGTCATCAATTTTAGGATCTTAGGATTAGTTAAGGTGCACTCAAGTTGGTCTGGACACACATACACACGCATACACACACATATATATATATATATATATAAAGGAAATAACATAATTTTTTAGAGACTTGAGAGAAGAATGTTAATGAATGAAAACTAAATTTTAAAGTCAAATTTACTAATAAAACTCAATGAGTAGAACCAAAAGGCCTCCTACGATATACTATAACAGTGCAACATAGATTCAAATTAGTCACATCTATTCATTAAAAGACTTGTTTAGAGGAATTTAGATAGAGAGAGAGAGAGAGAGAGAGAGAGAGAGAGAGAGCATCCATGTTGTTATCTGGAGAACCAACAAAGGACGGGTAATCCATTGGGTTTGGGCCCACCCGTGTCCCTGCACCCACACACATACCCCAAAACACCCATGGTCTGTCGTTTGGTTCCAACCCCACAATATCCCTCTCCCTCTCTCTCAACTTTCTTCATAAATACCCTTTACACCCCACTCTATCCCTTCACCACCACCACCTTTACTATCTATCTCAAACAACTCTCTCAAAACCTAAAATGGCCATTAGAAAATCAAACAAACTACCACAAACTGCAGTTCTCAAGCAAATTCTCAAGAGATGCTCAAGCTTGACAAAGAAACACAGCTATGACAACGATGACAATGGTCTTCCTCTTGACGTACCAAAAGGCCATTTTGCAGTCTATGTGGGAGAAAATAGGAGCAGACACATTGTTCCAATCTCATTCTTGTCTCATCCTCAATTCCAATGCCTTCTTCGACGTGCTGAAGAAGAGTTTGGCTTCGATCACGATATGGGTCTCACAATTCCTTGTGAAGAAGTTGTTTTTCGATCTCTAACATCAATGCTTGGATGAGAGTGTGATGATTATTTCTTTGGAGAGAGATGACTAAGATGAAGCAGTATTAAAAAGTACTACTGCTCTTTTTTTAACATCTTTCTTCACTTGTAGTTTTTTTTTTTTTTTTGGTTTTTTAAAACCCTTTTGGAGGTTTGATTGTTTGATGACTTTTTTCTTTTTTCTTTTTTTTTCCGGGTTAGATTTGTATAAAGTTTGGGATTTTTCCTCATAGAGGTGTGTTGTTATAACCCTGTGAGAGAACTTGATGTTTAAGCAAGGAAACTGATTTGCCTCTTTCAATCTCTCTATTCTCTATCTTATGTCATGTGCCCCTTGTTTCAATTAAAAAATATTAATAAATAAATAATGCATGACTGAGACCAAAACAAACTAAAGGTCTTGCTACAGGAACATGTTAAAAAGATTGTAGATTTTTTATTATAATTTTTATACAAAATATATAATAATCCCCAAAACACAAGTTCATAAAATATTAGAATTGCATTTTAATAGTAAGAACTTAGATCTATGCATGCCTTGAAACTTACAATTGCAAAATAGACTACAAAGTATGTACGGATCATCGTGAATTTCATATTGAATACTCATGTTCCAGTTTTCTTTTATTTTTTACCAAAATGCAAAATAAACCCAAATTAATTTTTGTTAGTTTAAAAAGTGACACTTATCACTTTAACGTTGATTTTTTTAAAAATAATATAAAAGACGTCACAACATAAGTAATTCGAAGTATTGCTCTAATACTACAATGAAGCGTGTCTATATACATATAGCTACATTCTTAGATCATCAAACTTTAAATGTTTGCATGACTAATTTATAGTGACATCTTGATGAAATCTTAAGTTATCATCCCCACACCATTGTTCAACATGATGAAAAAATCAAAACTCCAGTTTGGATATAAAGTACAGTACTCCAGTTGCACTCTCATGCCAGTATATTGAATTGTAATTTTATGATTGATCAGGGGCCATGCATGATGCATGGGACACCATCATCATCATCATCTTAATCAACCCTTATCCTTTCTGCTTTATGGTATAAATATATGTGGTCCAACATGTCATACTTAAGACCCTCATTAATCCTTGGGCTTGACAGTTCTAACCACAATGATGTACTAATTTCAGTTTGTGACGGAAAAATTTAATTTCAGATCATTTTTTTGGTGCATGAGAATGAACGAGGGAGAGGCGATTCTGGGGCTCGATCTTGCCCCCATGAACTTGGTTGACCTCAAGGAGTCTGGTATTTTTTCACTGTATCACTATAAATATTTTTCCTAGATTTCACATAAAAGTTGTAAGTTGATTATAAAGCCTTTCATTTTCACCATTCATTCCTAAAAAGAACAATTAAAGCTAATATACTTTTTGAGTTCATAAGAAAAAACAAACCTCTGCATAGGTTCAAAGTTGCAAGAAAATCTCTTTCCTTCTTTCTCTCACACACTCAACTAATTGACATTCTGGTGAGAAAAATGTTAAACAAATTTTAGTGTCTGACATGAGATCGATACAAAAATATGATTGGTGCCACTGCCAGTAACAATATATATATATATATATATAATATATAAAACGAGACTACTTCAGTGAATAAGAAAATTTTATTAAGAAAAAATAATCAAATTTGTGTAACATTTTATTCTTTCAATAAAAAGACTGTTCTCACCCAACAAATTTAACACAAACTTTTTTCATAGTAATGCATCCAACCATACATTCATGTAATCTTTGATGGAATACCAGCTTTTTTCAATGCTTTGGGGACCATGAGAGAAGCAAAGAGTACCTCTAGTGAGCTGGTCCCCTCTCTCTCTCTCTTACTAGTATTAAATTTTGGTTTTGCCTCTTTTTTTTTTCAGCCACAGAGTCTCTCTGACGCTCACAACTCTTCCATGTAACTGCCTCTTCCAACTCTTCCAAAGGAATATCTAATATCTTCATTATCTAAAACTGCTGTTTTTTTTTTATTTTTAATTGCTTTTTAAACCCCAAAAAAAATAATAATAATAACTTGAAAATAAAAATGCTATTGGCGGTCTCCTGCTCAAGTTAATCCCCTCCTCACAAAATCTTCCCCCATTATTGCCTTCGCCCTGTTCTTCATCGCTCCCATCTCTCTCTCTCTCTCTCTCTCTCAAATTATTTATGGTTGTGGTTTGTCTGATAAAATATGTATACATAGATCAGTAAATGAAGAACATGATGTCTTATTCGACATAACAAAAATATAATATTGGAGAAATGTACCAAGCCACTTTGTCCATTTGCTAAGAACTGGAAAGATATTTTACAATTTGTTATATTAATATTGACCTGAAAATGTATTTGATTTTTCACATGGATTTTTGATGCATTTTTATTTTGGCTGAAATTCTATTGCGGTTTGAGGTCGAAAGACTTTCCGGCTATATTTGAATCATAGGAGATAAAATGTTCTAACCTCAAATTAGGAGGGGTAAAATGAATTTTGACTCTTTATTTTTCATCTCTGCTTGTTGTCTATTCATTAAGCTTTCTTTCTCTCTCTCTCTAAAATTATGTTGTTTATATTACATAGTGTGGTATATTATGGTGTGTATGATAGTCTCTCTCTATATATATTTCCATTCGATTTTTGAAAAAAAAATTTCTGGTTATTTTCTTCTTTGTTTGTGTGACTTGGATTGGATGAGGAATAAGCATAGAGCTAGTTGTACAAGCAGGGGAGCTACTCTCTCTCTCTCACTCAGCCAGTTGTACAAGCAAGGGAGCTACTTTCTCTCTCTCTCTCTCTCTCTCTCTCTCTCAGCCAGTTGCACAAGCAGGGGAGCTACTCTCTCTCTCTCTGTTTTTCAAACTTTATAAGTTGTTCAAGCTCTGTTCTTCTCCCCACATTATTGAGCATATTTTTAAATAAATAAAAAAAATTGTGTTACAACGAAATCAATTCAAAGCAATTGCACTTTTGTACAAGCACAAATGAGATTTGTCCCATGCGCTTTTCATTGCACCGTACACAAATTCACTTCTAATTTTTATAATGTCATAATTATTTTGAATTATTTATATTAAAACGTAATTTTTCTTTTAAAAAATAATGAAAACCATATAAAAATAACAAGTTCTAATGAAATATTTTAGTAATATATAGTGACTTTCATTTTAAAAGGTACTTCAAAAATTAAGTATTTCATATATTCAAATTGAATATGATATGACTAAATCTTAACCACATATTGAATTTGCAAAGTAATTTTTTTGAGGTTTTTTTGCTTCAATTCACCTATCTTTGTGAATCATTCCAAACTTGTGTTGGGCATATATGTATATACAAGGGCCCTAGGACCAAAAAAGTCCTAGTTGTTGGTGCAAATTTAGTAAATGTGATGGAGGAAGACAAAATAAAAAATAATTAATATTGTTTCAAGACGTGCTACAATGTCATTTTTCTTAAAACGATATTCATCTCCACCAATTCTATCAATTATGGTGTGTACCGGGCTACCCGTGAATCCGCCTTCATGATACAATGAATCCCAATTTAAAGACTGATATCTAACTGTTTTATGCCCGAACGAAATCCTATTCCGAATACTTTTAGATTTTTTTAATCCACCAAGTATAGAGAAAAATAATAATATAAATGTTAAAGAGAAATTCAATGGATTTCATATAAATGATTTGTATCCAATTTTCAACCCATTTTGCCTTTATATAGGCATGGGTTTGTCTTCTTTAGACCAAAGGTCGTGTCCTGTAAATTCAAAAGTGAAACACTTTAAACTAAGACTCATGTGTAGACATCCCATTTTTGATCGACCTTAAGACTCAGACATCACCGATTGAGCGCTCGGTGATGGTGCATATTGTGCTCGTTCAGAAGTTTCAGAGTCTCGGCTACGAGCCTTGCCTCCGAACTTCCGGGCTCTTTCGTGTCTTGCCTCGGTTTGCGAACCAGGCTCCATTTTCTCTGTTTTCTCTTCCCGAAGGGAGGGAGAGGTCTTGTAGATCATCTCTCAATGGCCGTAGGCTACGTTTTATGGTCGTAGGCCATTTTTCTCGTTTGGAGCCCGATTTCCGATTTTTCGGAGCCGACGGCCGTGTGCCTCGGTTCGGGACTACTTAACCACCTCCGTTTGTTCCGGTTTTTGGTATACACCCCACCACCATCCATTCCAACAACTTGGAGCTGTTTTTCAGAGCTTAGGAGCACCATTTCTCAGACCAAGAGCTGCTGGTCCATTGGTCTTCAAGGGTAAGCTTCTTTTCCCTCTTTTTTGTTCCTATCTTGCTCTATATCTAAGCCTTGCTTGCAAGCATTTTTGGGCTCCGACCCAAACTGTAAATAGTCATATTTTGAGCTCCTTTTCATATTTGTTGAAGGGTCCTTTGCTGTTTGAGGCTCCCTTTTTGCTCTTTGTGTTTAAACCCTCTTTTAGGCCTATTTTTGCATAGTATTTTAGGCTTATTTGTGAGCTGTTTCGGACTTGGTCATAAACTGTAAAATGTCTTGTTTTGAGCCCCTCTTCAACTTTTTTGAAGGGCTCTCTTCAGTTTGAGGCCGGAAGCTACCACTTGCCTCTTTATCTCTCTTTTAGGCCTATTTTTGAGGGGAAATTTGAATTTCATTTCCCCCCCCCCCTTTTTCCTCCACTCCTTTGCCTATATAACCAGCACCCCCAGCTGTGTTTTCAGGGTTAAAAAAAAGTTGGTTCTAAGCCTCTTGCATTCAATCCCTCTTCCCTTCTATTCCAAACATCAAAACCCTTTTGTTCTTGGACCATTCCTACACCCTTTACTCTACAACCCATAGCACCCCTCCTCCTCACTCCATTCCAGCAGCTTGAAGGCCATTTCCAGAGCTTAAGAGTCCCCAAACTTGGTCCAAAGGCTATCAAAGATTGGTTCTTCAAGGGTAAGTCTTCTTTTCCTCTTTTCTTGCTTTATTTTGATCTATATTCTAGCCCCTTGTGCTCGCATATTTGGACTCCGACCCTAACTGAAAATAGCCTTATTTTAAGCTCTATTTCATGTTTGATTAAGGGCTTCTCCCTGTTTGAGGCTTCTTTTTTACACTTTGTGTTAAAAGCCTCTTTTAGGCCTCTTTCCTGCATAGTATTTTAGGCCTATTTGTAAACTGTTTCGAGCTTTACTATAAACTGTGAGTTATCTTATTTTGAGCCCCTCTTCAACTTTGTTGAAGGGCTCTTCACTTTTTGGGACTTCCTTCTATCACTTGCCTCTTTATCCCTCCTTTAGCCCCTTTGTTTGCATTTT